CGGGTTATTCTTTTGGGTGTCGAGCCTGGGATTGACACCATCGCTAGACTTTCGAACCCCAAAGCCTTTCTCCATGCAATGTTTCAGCAAGGCCCACTTGGAGGGTCAGGGGGACTTAGTAAGAGGTTAATAACCCCTATAACCCATATAGTAACCCCAGTTATCCCCCTTATTAACCCACTTACTAAGTCCCCCTGACCCCCCAAGCATATGCATACAAGTTGCTCCGCGTTGCAACTTTTCAAGTCCGAAAAACTCCTGATGCACCCTGAACCCTAGACTGTAGCTGAAGCCCTAAGTCCTAAACCTGTGAACTCCATTATTCTTTTTGTATGTCGAGAGTGGGATTGACACCAAGGATTCTAGCCTCATGCGTATCTAAGCCTTCGAGCCCCACAGCCCTTCTTCAACGGTCGAGCAGATCCGAATGAGCCTAAACCTGAACTTCAACCCTGTAATCCCTAAACCTGTGAACCCGGGGGGGCTCCATCCGCTACACAGAGATGGTCTCCCTGAACTCAAGCCCTAAACCTGTGAACCCCATTATTCCTTTTCTATGTGGAGCCTGGGATTGACCCTTATGAATCTTAGCCTTATACGTATCGTGGCATTCCTAGAACCCGAACCCTTCTTCAATATTTCACCAGGGCCCGCCCATCCATCCATTCATCTGCCGCAGGAGCCGGCGGAGTATGTCACCTCGCAGTTGTGGGCAGCATGCCAGCTTGCAGCAGACCGCATGAAGCTGTACAAGGAGGATGCGGACTCTGCGAAAGGGTTGCTTGCTAAGCAGAACAAGAAGAGCAAAGCGAAGAAGGTAACTCTTCCGCAGTAATGTTCAGCACTCTCCACGCAAACCACCTCAACCTGCCATGCGCCCTGCATTATAAGGACGAAGGGCTGGATGAGTGAAGACCATACCGCGGACGACATTCATGATACCTTGACGCTTGTGTTTCAAACTGGGGCGGGGCACGATGTCCCGTGCCAAATGTTTGGACCGATCCCTAGATCTCGCGTGAGAGACTGTTACTTTAGAACACCGTGCTAGAATACATGCCAGGGTGCCACGCATGTTCTGGGATCGTTGGCGAAAGCCTGCGAATTGCAGGTGTTCTTTTTCAGATGGGGAAATGAGATCATCAT